TCTCGTGCTGTCACCCAGGCAAGTGCACTGGCATGATCTCAGCTCACTACAATTTCCGCCTCCTGGGTTCAAACAATTCTCCTGCCTCAGCCTCCCAAGTAGCTGGGACTGTAGGCGTGCGCCACCACGCCCAGCTAATTTTTATATGTTTTTAGTAGAGACAGGGTTTCACCATGTTGGCCAGGATGGTCTCGATCTCCTGACCTCATGATCCACCCGCCTTGGCCTCCCAAAGTGCTGGGATTACAGGAATAAGCCACTGTGCCCGGCCTGGATTCTGATTTCTTCATCAGTTAAGTGTAAGAACGGAACTAGATAATCTCTAAACTAATCCTTTGTAACTTTAAACTTTCATGTGTCCACATTGCAACTTCATTTTCCAGGTCCTATGGTGTCTTGGAATAATGGCATGGGAGGCATTGCATGGCCTAGTTCATGGAAGCAGACTGGACTAGTAATGTGGACTTGTATCCTGGTTGTTATAAGTCAACATCTCTGAATTTAATGTTCCTTATTTGCACCTATAGATAACGATATTGACCTCACTAGCTTTCAGTGAAAATTAAAAGAGATGTCATGTGTAAAAGTTTCAGGCACCCATTGCCTCACTAAATGTTAGTAGACTCTGAATAACACCCAACCTACGCAACCCTACTTAGCTTTCCTGGTGATGAGCAGGGTTAACTTCAAAGTACCATGGCCAGACCAGGCACGGTGGCTTATGCCTGTAATCCCAGCACTTTGAGAGGCCGAGACAGGTGGATCACTTGAGGTCGGGAGTTCTAGATCAGCCTGGTCAACCTGGTAAAACCCCATCTCTAGTAAAAGATACCAAAAAATTTAGCCAGGCGTGGTGGCAGGCGCCTGTAATCCCAGCTACTTATGAGGCTGAAGCAGGAGAATCACTTGAACCCAGGAGGTGAAGGTTGCAGTGAGCTAAGATCATGCCACTGCACTCTAGCCTGGGTGACAGAGTGAGACCCTGTCTCAGAGGAGGAAAGAAAAAAATAATAATAAAGTGCCCTGACCTGGTAACCTTAAACAGTACCAGAACTTGCTCATTAGTTGCAGGGCCCGTGAGTCAGCCATGGTGTCAAGCACACCAAGGTGAAAGGACACAGAGTTTTCCACCATGTTCCCCTGGCTTTCCTGTGTACCAAATGGAAGATGCCAAGAAGGGCCTTTGGTTGATTTCTGTTTGAGTCAATCCACTTTCTGCTTGTTCTACTGCCATGGATTGTACCCTTAGCTCTAGCCAGCTGGCTGGAAATGCCTTGTTACTGGACACAGGAAAAGCCAGACAGAGGGTCAGTTTAAATCTGTCAGCTCGCCTAGAAAACAACTCAACTGCGCATGCTCAGCTCTCGGTGTGGCATGAGAGGCACCAAAGGCCATCCCAGGGAAATTCTGACAGCAGCAGGGATCGAAACCATCATGGTGGGGATCAAACCACCTGCGGCTTGCACACACCATTCTGGCAGCATATGCACCTGCAGTAATTTAATGCCCTACAGGCCCTCACCCCGCAGCTGGCAGCCGCCTGCCTCCAGCTTCAAGTCACAGCCGATGCCCTCTCGGTAGAGAAGCTCGATTCCGCGCAGGTTCTCCCTCAGCTCCTCTGCCTGGCTGGGCTCCTTTACATCTTCCCGGGCATTTCCAGCCCTCTCGCATCTCCGCTGGGCAGCAGCCTTCACCCGGGGCGCTCCCAGCGCCTCGGCGGCCGCCAGCACATCCTCCTGCGGGGCGGGGCCCAGCACTCCCTCATAGGCAAAGGTCAGCATGGCCTCCCATCCCCCTGGGGACACCTCGAGGCTTAAGGGGGGCCGCGGACCTCCGCCGCCCAGCAGCCTGTCTCGGAAGAGGCTGCTGACTGCGGCCAAGATCACCCGATGCACCCCGTATACCCGCCCCGCGACTGACACCTCTTCGTCTAGCAACAATCTCTGCTCCCGCAGCCGCTGGGCCTCGGCGAAAAACTGGCTCGGATGCTCCTCGCTGCGCAGCCACTCGGGCTCCTCCTCGTCTTCATCTTCATCCTCTTCCTCTTCTTCCTCTAGGAACAAGGCTGAAAAGGGAAGGCTCCCTGGGACCAGGGTCCTGGGGCCAGGCTCTTCCAGAGGAAAAGAAGGCAAACTGGGATCCTCGTCGGGGGAGGAAGGCCAGGAAGCGGCTCTTTGGGCGTGCACGGGGAGTCCAAGGCAGTCCTGGACGGGAAGAGAGATACTCTCCAGCTGAGAAGGATAATGTGGGGTGTCCGAGAGGCTCATGCCGGGGTTTGCTGGATAGCTGCAGATGAGCAGAAGCAAGACAGCCTAGTGTCAGAGCTGGACCCAGACAGGCCAGAGGAACCATGTCTCCAGCCGGTCAAAATGTCAGTCTCTCCCCTGCTCCAACACCCTCCTCCTACCCCCAGCCACATCCCAACACTGGAGTATCAGGGATATACAGGGCAACTATGGGATACAAACGGTACAGCAAAACATGCAAGAAGCCAGGTAAAGATCCTGTGCCACACTCCTCCCCATTGCCCCCATCCTTTTAGTCACCCTCAGGAGACACCAGTGTTCCGCTTGCCCTCTTACTTGAGCCCCTGCTGTGCTTGGGGCTGTGTGGCAGAGGGAACTTGCCCACATGGCATCCCAGTCAGCCAGTGGCCCCATGGGGCTAATTATAGCTGGTGGTGGTTGGCTAGGCACTTGGCACCTGGTGTCCTAACTCTGACACCCAATCCCCTGGGCTCCCTCCCAGATTGACACCCACACCTTCCCACCTATAGGTCATACAAGACTGCTGAGCTACGCAAATTAGAAAACTAAGGAGAAAGAGGGGATCCGATGGAATGAGCCCAAGGCCACAAGGGCTGTGCTCACCAGAGTGGGCTGGAAGGGTCAGGCAAAGAGTCTCGACTGGGCTTTGGCTGTTGACTTTTCTGTGCATGATAAAGCTGGGACCTGGCCGGGCATGGCAGCTCTTCCCGGTAATCCTAGCACTTTGGGAGGCATGATGTGGGTGGGTCACTTGAGCCCAGGAGTTTGAGACCAGCGGGGGCAACATGATGAAACCCCAGTTTTTTTATTTCTACCAAAAAATACAAAAATTAGCTGAGCGTGGTGGCTCATGCCTGTAGTTGTAGCACTTTGGGAGGTCAAGGCGGGTGGATCACTTGAGGCCAGGAGTCTGAGACCAGCCTGAGCAACATGGTGAAGCCCCATCTCTACCAAAAACTATAAAAATTAGCTGGGCATGGCGGGCCACACCTTTAGCCCCAGCTTCTTAGGAGGCTGAGGTGGGACAATCGCTTGAGCCCAGGAAGCAGAGGTTGCAGTGAGCCAAGGTTGCACCACTGTACTTCAGCTTGGGTGACAGAGCAAAACCCTGTCTCAAAAAACAAAAAATCTAGGGCCCAGGAGGGAACAGCTGAGACCCAGGAGCGAACATAGCCCAGCCTTATCCATAGAGGACAGAGGTGTGGGGAAAGTGAAGGGGCAGGGATCAGGGCTATGGACCTAGATGTCTCACCCCCAGCACAGGGCTTTCTCTCTGTCCAGAGGTGGGGTCCAGGGTGAGAGCCTGAAATTCAACCCTGTGTCTTTGGAAAAGTCTGGGCAATTCTAACTCTCATCTTGGCACTGGGATAAGAACCAGATAGTGGAAGGTGTGATTGAGCTGCATGCTGTGTGGACCAGAGTCCTGGACTAGATGGGCTATGCGCATGCAGATATTCCGTTTGAACCAGTCAGTAACAGCCACTCCCTCTCCCTCCAGGACACCTCTTTTCTTATCCTGAGACCAGGTGCTTGACTAAAGCCCCTAAAAGCCAGGCAATCACTTTGTGCCACAGTTTTGAGTATCATATTGGGGAAAGGATTTGGGGGAAGATGCAGTGATATACTTCCTCTCCCTTCTCTTGGGGAGGTCGGGTAGGCCAAGGGCGGCTACTTCCTGGCCTATAAAATGTCTGGCCCAGGCTAGATAGGTTGACTCCACAGGCAGACTTAATAAGGGAAGGAGGTATGACTGTCCCTTGTGATTCAGATGAAAGGGATCATGTGGAGGGTGGGGTAGGGTGGGAAAGTGGGCTGACGCTCACAGCACCCCCTCCTATTTTCAGAGCTGTCTCTATTTCCCCATTTGTTGTCTGGGTACCTCTGGCAACTCTTAGTAGTTAGCATTCCCTGGGTGAGCCTAGCCAGCAGGTGTACTTTCCAAAATGACCGAGAGGCAGTTTGTGGTTGTCCTGGCCAGCATAAGGGGAGATAGTGTCCAGGGTCTGAACCCTCTGTCCCAGTTCATACATTTCAGATGCCTCTCACAGCCTCCCTGCAGCAAGACAATGTGGCCAGCATCTTGACCGCCCCCCACCAGGAGGTGGAGGAACTGCAATCTGGTAGAGTCATACCCCAAGCCAGCCTCTGTTCACCACCTGCCTATAAGGATGAGGACCCTGGACCCTGCTATGAGTTCTATGCCAACTCCATAGTCCTGGGATGGCTCCATGCAGCTTGGTAAGACCCAGGTCCCAGAGTAAACTCCTGAAGGTAGGATAAAATCTGCATGTGGGCTACCACCACCTTCCATTACAGCTCTGGGACTGCCCTCCAGGTCCATTAGCTATCCTCCTGGTTGCAGATGCAATGGCTAGCGAGGGGTCTTGGTATGTTATGTATGTGCTGTTTCGGCCAGGATATAGCACCACATTCACCTCGACAAGGAACCCCACACCAAGCCACACTCCCAAGATGATCTGGAGAATTCTGGGGCCAGGACCAGCAAGGCCCCAGTGCACTTCAGCTGGGTCACAGAAGTCATGGTAATGGATTGGAGCTCATGGTTCCCTAAGTCTGGGGATCTAGGCAGGTAAGAACTCTTTGCTCCAGGGGTTTTTGGGGAGTGCTTCTGAAGGGGGCATCCTCACCCCACGGTGCCCATGGCTCATTATCCTATTCTTGGCTTCAGTCATACTGTCACTGGGTTGTCTATCTCAGCCCTCTCCAGCAAAGGCAACATCAAGGCTGGTGAGTCTGTAGTGACTCCCACTCCTCCCTTCATGTTTCCCGCATCCCTCTTATCTGTTAATGAATTGTATGGTGTTCTGTGATTATCAAACTTGGTCATTTCCTTATTCCCCCAACCCCTGCCATATAAACACTTCCATTTCGCCTTTTGGTATGGGTGGTACCTTGACAGCCCTACTGCTTTGGGATGGGGTTTTATTCCCATGAAGAAATATGTATCCTCAATCCCATTTCCAGGTTCCTATATGATTCAAGATGCTTCAGAAAATAGGACTGACAAGGGTGTGCAGAATGGGAGTTGCCTGGCCGCAAAGTCCAATATGGCTGGGATTTCAGCGGCTGTCGAGAGCAAGGGTCCTGCCTCTATGGGCTCTCTAGTCACTACGAGGTGAGTGAACCAGAGGAGAAGTATAGAGAGTGAAGCCTTGCCCATTGCCTGGCATAGCATAGATGCTTGATTCATGTGAATGGGGTAAAACCTTCAAAGATGCAGATAAATTCTAGTAAGTCTGGGAAAACTAGGTGAAAACATGGGTAGAAAGCATTATTTTAGGAATGCATTGATTTTTGCTTGTCTGCCCTTTTCCTCAGGCCATAAGCATGGTGTCAGGAGCAGCTGTGCCACGATAAACCATACCCAGTCATTGGCTTTTTGCGGGGGAGGGGGAAGGCCATGGCAAGAACCACAAGCCTCTGTGGAGCTATCTGCTCACCCTCCCCATTGCTGTAGGTTTCATCCTTATTCCTCACCCCACCCTCCACACCAGGCTCTATTAATCACCATTCCTCTCATGCCCTTCCCAGCCCTACCTCTGGCTTCTAGGACCTGATCCTAAAGCCTCTTTTCTATTGCTGTTTTCCTAAAAGTGGACGAAAATGTCTCCAAACTTTGCAGTGGTAGGGGTGGTATGCAAGGAGTAAGGAGAAGGGAATGTGCAGGTGGAGTAAGGAGAAGGGAATAGAGAGAATGGGGAAAGCCATAAAATGATGTCCCCGACTTCTAGACCTGGATCTTATGACACTAGTGTGGAGACTCACTTCTGACCTTTCATCTCCCCTAAAGCCGAGCTAAACATCATTGCCCCCATCATCACCAACTTCCTGCTCTGTGCCTGTGCCCTCATCAACTTTGGCTGTTTCTACACCTACCTTACCTGGCTGCCTGGTTAATGTGGGCAGGTGCTGAGGTAAGGTCCAGGGCTGGAAAGACCTGAGGAGCTGGGAAGACATCCTTGGGGTACATGAGTGGGTGGTGCTGAGGTCAGGACAAGGGCCTGCATTTGCTCTTCCCTGCAGGCTGGTGCCCTTCATTCTGCAGGTAAAGTCCCTTGCTCTCCCTCCTGGGCTCTCTGCTCTGCCTGCTCATCATGTTCCTCCTCACATGGCGGGTTCCTCCTGCTGTTGCTCTATAAGAAACCTAGTGAGTGAGTAGGCAGGTGAGTAAGGAGTCAGGAAGTGAGTTACAACAGGAGGCTGACCCCCACAAAAAGCCCAGAATTACTAACAGTAAAATCTCGTTCCTCTTCTACCCGACGATTGATGCGCCACCCCTATCATTCTGCACCACCCCTTCCTCTTCGCAGTTGTGAAATGGGGCTCTTCAATCCAGGCAGACACCTATCACATGGCACTGTCCTACTGAGTGAGCCTCACCAATGTGCAAGATCACATTAAGAACTTCCAGTAAGGAAGTCTCTAGACCAGAGGTTGAAAATGGTAGCCAAGGAATGGAATCTTCGTCTGGATTTTGATTGCACAACATTTACAATTTTTAAAATAAACTGCCAACACTTAAGATCCAGGCATCTGCTAATCCTGGGCCTCCATCCCACAAGACACAGTTAGCTGGGGCTGAGTAGCTCCTCTCCTGTGGGACAAGGCAGGTGCTCTCCAGTTTTATCACAGTTCCCAGTTGGTCCACTTGATTCTTTAATATTACACGACTCGTTCTTGCAGACTTTTGGCTTTTTGGGAAAGCCCACGGCAAGAACCATGAACCTCTGCAGGGCTATCTGCTCAGACACAGAAGGAAAGTAGCTTCCTGAATTCTGGGAGGAGTAGTGGAGAAAAAGGGAGTCTTCTGGTCACCCCTCACCCAACATACCATATCCCCTTCTTTCCTAGTTGCTTCTCCTTTCAGGTCTCGTGTTTGAACCAACTGAAGTCCAATGTACTTATCCTGGGTTATCAGCAAAATTGGCAGAAAGGGCCTATATCTGCTGTCAAGTATTACATAGGTATTCTACTGTAAATGTGAGATAGAGAAGAGTAAGATGGGCATACAAATGGTCAGGAACTAATAATGAGAGGAAATATAATCATGGTGAAGACCTTGCTTCCCACAGCTGCCCAGCAGTGCCTGTGTCCCCAGGAAAAAGACTCCCACTCCTTCATCTCTTCCTCCTAGACCTTTTCTCTCCTCTCCATAAAGTGATGCCTTTGACTACTACTATGGCATAGCCTCATAAGGATGCCAGGAGGGTTAAGCCTGGCTACTCAACGCCAAGCTCAAGGTGAGTGAAAAGAGGAATAAGAGAAGGACATGGTGTGAGAGGTATAGAAATTGGCTCTCAAAGGCAATCTGGGAGGCACATGAACTCATCTAGAGTTACCAAGACCTAAGACTGAATAGAATTGGGTACCAGATGTGAGAGAAATGAATTTGCTTGACGTTTGGTTCTCCTGAAATGTTTGGGGTGGGGGAAAGCTTTGAATGTCAGGTGGGAGAAATTTTGATCAAAAGATAAAACATAGTAGGGTGAGCTGGAGTGTGGTCAGGAAGGGCTACGGTCCAATTCTAGAGAACGGTTTCCAGCACTACCCTAATTCTAGTAATATTACACATCTTGCCAGTTTACATTTGGGGCATCCTTAGTAGAAAGATAACATTATTTTGTGTTATAACACAAAAGATAGCCCCACTTTTCCCAGTAAACCCTGAATATTTGGATGTCATAGGGATGGATACTTAGCAGAAAGGAGACCAATCCTAAAACATGTCCTGTTTTAGGAAAAACAGAGTTGAGAGTGGGTTAGAGAAGCAGGCACCCAGGAAAATGAAAAGGGAATGTGGTTAGTCAATGTGGAGAGAAGCCACATGACATTTCTCTGGAATAGCAGTAATTCTCTTAGGGGAAGAGAGGTACGATACAAGGAGCAATTGCTCAGCTGCGTAAGGAGTTTGTCTCATTCTTTCTTACTCTCTTCTCAGGCAGCATCCTTACTCCAGCAGCCTCAAACAATGTTCCAATCCAAGCAGGGCCAGAGGACTGTGGACGTCTACTGGCTCAGTAATGACGGTAGGGACTCCAGGGCTCCCCAGGAACTCCCGAGTTCTCCAAGCTCCAGGGAGAACAGGAAAGGGAAGATCAGGACATAAAAACCAGAACAGGTCTAGAAAATGAACTCTGCATTTACCAAGTGCCCAATGCTCTGCTCCCACCTCAGAGGACAACTGTGGTGTTTAAAGGCCAACAGAAAAGCTAGTGTTGGTGGAGCTGAGCAAACAAAGAATTGAGTAGTGGATGAAAGTGGTAGGTGGGGAAGGGCAGAGTGGATCACAGAGGGCCTCACAGGCCTTTAAAAAAGACTCTGATTTTTCCTTTGATGTAAGAAAATACTGAGGGTTTTGAGCAGAAGAGTAACTTGATCTGGTTTCCATGCTAACGCTATTCACTCTGGCTGCTATGTGGAGAATTGACTCTAAGTAGCAATGATCAAAGGAAAAAGACCAGCCACAACAATAATCCTGAAGATACAGAATTCTCACATTTCTCCTCACTTCCACTGCTGCCACTGTAGATACCTGATCTGCAGTGGCAGCAGTGGAAGTGAGGAGAAATGGAATTCTGGATATACTTTGAAGGTGGAGCCAAGAGGATTTGATGAACTGGAGAAGAAGAAATAAAACTGCCAAAGATACTTTGGCATGAACAACTGGAGAAGTAAGTGCAATTTTGAGTATGTTAAATTTGAGATGTCTTTTTTTTTTTTTTTTTTTAAAGATGGGGTTTCACCATGTTGGTCAGGCTGGTCTTGAACTCCCGACCTCAGGTGATCTGCCCACCTTGGCCTCCAAAGTGCTTGGATTACAAGCATGAGTCACCACGCCCGGCCGAGATGCCTATTAAACATCCAAGTAGAGGTGCCAATGGGCGGCTAGGTATTTGGGATGGAAGTCCAGGCTGGAGCTGTAACTGGGAGTCACCCCCATCAAAATGATTTTAATGTATACAACTAGATGAAGTCACTGCAGGTATATGTGTAAAGAGAGTAGTCTGAGGACTAAACTCTGTGGAGATGAGGAGAAACTGGCAAAGGAGACTAAGAAAGCGCAGTCAGTAAACTAGGAGGCAGACGAGAAAATGCATCCTAAAGCCAAGTAAGGAAACTGTTTCAAAGAGGAAGTGCCAAATGCTGCTAATAGCTTCTGAAGATGAAGAATACGCCATTAGACTTAGCTATGTGCAAGTCATTAGTGAATGTGGTAAGAATAGTTTTGGTAGAGATTTCAAAGAGAAATTGAAGACAAGGCTTTTTAAGTTTTGCTGTAAAGTGGAACAGAAAAATGGGAAGCAGTTGGAAGGGCAAATGGGGTCAAGAGGGCATTATTTGTGAAATAAGGAGAACAGTGGCATCTTTGTGTGCTGATGGCAAGATTCAGGACAGAAGGAAATACTGACTCTACAGGAAAAGAGGGAGAATTAACCCTTGAGAGAGTCTTGCTGTCACCCAGGCTGGAATGCAGTGGCATGATCTCGGCTCACTGCAACCTCCGCCTTCTGGGTTCAAGCGATTCTTGTGCCTGAGTAGTTGGGATTACAGACGTGTGACACCACGCACAGCTGACTTTTTGTATTTTTAGTAGAGATGGGGTTTTGCCATGCTGCTCAGACTGGTCTGGAACTCCTGGCCTCAAGTGATCCACCCACCTCGGCCTCCCAAAGTGCTGGGATTACAGGCGTGAAGCACTGCACCCAGCCCTGACTTTTAATCAGTAAAGTATCCTCTAATCCGTGGTGACAATCCAATGTCCTCTAAGAAGCAAAATCAGCTCTGGTTGAGAACCACTGGTTCATGGTAACAGGAAGGAAGGCAGAGGACATGGGTACAGATGCTTGAAGGTGGTTAGTTTCAAAGGTAGAAGGCTGTAAATGTATACTGACTGCTTCTATTTTCTTACTGAAATAGGAACCAAGGTCAGAGAATAGGGGGAGATGTTAGATATTTGAGAGGACAGAAGGTCTGAGAGAGTTACTAGAGAAGAGGGCAAGTGAAAGGACTAGAGAAATGGACTATTTATGGGTGGCCTAAAGGACCCAGTTTAGTGTCACAGTCATAAATTTAAACATCAGTCAGCATAGCTATTTTTTACTAGCCCTTTAGGCTCCATGGGTCTTAAGCAGGTAATCAGCTGAATATGCCAAAAGCAAAAGAGGGGAAAGGAAATGAGGCAGATTATGGGAATTTAGCTGAAGAAGGAGGGAAATAAAAACACGTGGGGGATAAAATCTGTGAAAGGAAGTATGATCAGTGGACCATAGGTCCTGGTGAAGGGATGAACTGCTGGATTTTGCATACTAACGAAAATGTACTGGAAAGATAGGAGGTGGTGGTAGCAGAGAGTCGGCTATTTGAAACTGAGATGTGGAGGACCTGCAGCTCTAGCACAGGACCAAAGAAATAAGTGGTTGAAGTGGTGTTAGAATGATCTACCTGAATACTGAAATCCTCAAGATTTATGACAACAGTGGTGTTCGTGTGGTAGTTTGTTTCAAAGCAGAAGGGTCCTAGGGATAAGGGACAATGGTCTGGAAACAGTATGAGAAAAAATGAGGACACGTGCACCACCTCCAGGCCCAGTGGTACAATGGGTGCGAGAGGGAAAACACCACCACTGCCAAGTAGAGTCCTTGTAAGAAACCAAGTCTGAAGAGTGTGAATGTGAAGGGAACATTCAGAGAAGAGGCTGAGATACAGAGAATTTGACATATGACTGGCTATCAGTTTCAGAGGGCACAGTGGAAGAGCTGCTAGAGTTAGAAAAGGTAGGTACTGTAGATGCGAACAAAACAGTGGAATCATTGTTTTGTTCATGTAGGGGAAAGTATATGGAGTAGAGGCAGTTTTACTCTAGAGTTACAAATTAGACCAATCTCCAGGCTGTTTGTTTTTAAGAGACAAGGTTTTGTTCTGTCACCCAGGCTGGAATGCAGTGGCAGAATCGCAGCTCACTGTGATCTCATCCTGGGGTCAAGCTATCTTCCCAACTCAGCCTCATTTGGAGTTGGGACTACAGTAAGCTGTGACTGAGCCACTGCTCCCAGGGAGCTATAGTGTGCCACCATGCCCAGGTAATTTTTAGATTTTTCGAGTAGATGGTGTCTGGCTACGTTGCCTGGGCTTGGCTTAAACTCCTGGGCTCAAGGGATCCTCCTGCCTTGGCCTCTTAAAGCACTGGGATAACAGGTGTGAGCTACTGCACCCAGCCTCCAAGCTGTTTGAAGAGAAGTCTTGAGTATCTACTTCAAAGAATTTAAATGAGAGAATGAATGTAAAGCAGTTAAAATAGGACCTAATACTGAAATAATAATAGTTATAATACTATTGTTGCCAGGCACAGTGGCATGCCTACTCAGGAGGCTGAGGTGATAAGACTGCTTGAGCCCAGTTCAAGACCAGTCTGGACAACACAGCAAGATCCCATTTATTAACCAAAAAAAAAAAGAAAAGGCAAAAAAAAAGGATACCTCATTCTTGGCTCCACAGCAGCAGCTTCCAACAAGAATTTATCAAACACCAAATCTATATATTGGTCCTGCACAACACCATCCAACCATCAACATATAAAACAAAACAAAAAAAAATTTATTGCTGAGTCATCTTGGGGTTCCATGAAGGACCCCAAGCCTTGCTTGGAGTCTATAGCTTTGCTAGGACTCCCACGACATCAGGATAGAGATTGACGCACAGGGTCCTTCGGGTTCCAATTAGGGAACTATCTACTCTGATTCTGTTAATCTTATTAGTCCCTCCAGGTCACTTCTACTTCATCTGTCCGATACCTGCAGAAAAACAGAAAAATCAAGATGGAGAACTAGCCCTTAACATCTTCCATTCTTCTCCGCCCTCATGTTCCTGGACTCTCTTCCCTGCTGATTTTTGTCTACATCCCAATAATCTATCCTCACCAAGAGGTGAATCACTCACCTCTGTGTAACCCCAGAATCACTGAGGGGGGTCCTGTGTCCAGCCTGAAACATCTCCCAGCCAGCCTGAGCTATCATGGCTCCATTGTCAATACAAAATCTGGGATGCAAAAGCGATATGAAAATTGGCATCTAAGGGTGGGAAATCACAAGAACAGGAGAAGTAAAAAAGAAACCAAAGGTAAAGTGTCTTTACCTCTCATCTGTAGCAAAAAGCCGGGCTCCACGTTCCTGGCACATTGTCGCCATCATCTCCTGCAGCCTCACGTTACCTACAAAGAGGCAGGGAACAGGGTTAGCTTAGTTTTAGCTACCTCTTCATGGTCCAGCAGAATATATCACATACACCTACTTTTAGAACAATGACGTAGGGGATCAGGGCAAGGATTGGGAAGCATACCCCAAACCCCTCATGATTTAGAATATCAGGAGGAAGAGGCAGAGTGCTAAGAACAGATAAGAGAAACATTGTTCAATAGTACGTACACCCCACTCCTCCTACAATGAGGGCCTCCTGGGAGCCACAATGTGCCATGGCTCGCTCTGTTATCTCTACCAGCATTGCAAACACGGTTTCCTGTCGGGGACAGACAAGGAGAAAAGATCAGAGGGGTATCCCAGCTGGGTTCTGCTCTACTATATAAAAGCTCCTCCAGCCCCAACTTTCTGTCCCAGCTTTTTAATTCATTACCTGCAGGGAAAAACACAGATCCTCAGGAGTACACTCGCCTGTGGCCAGCATCCGATGGGCTACATCCTATAATTAAAGAGAAAAACAAATGAATCAACAAATCATTTTGTTTTCACTTCAGACAATAAAAAATAAATAAATAAATCATGGTTTTGCGATTACATGAGAGCAAAAATTAATATATTCGGAGGATCATGTTTTACCACAAATCAAGTTACCAGCACATCCTGTACCACATTCCCTTCATTGGCATCATGGTATAGAATGAGCAGTATTCATTTAAGATGCAGTAATTACTTTTTGAATGCTTGTCCTGGCATCTCTCACCCCTTACCCTGTTTAATTTTTTACCTGTACTCACCACCATCTGAAACTTCATTATTTTCCTCTTTCTATCTCCCCTGCTCCCTAACTTAGAATCAAAACTCCATGCAAGCAGGGATTTTTGTTTCGCTCCATGTTGCATCTCTACTATCTAAAACAGTACCTGGCACACAAAGATATTCAGTAAGTACCTTCTAAATGAATCTACCCAGCACATGATATGGACCAGCACTGTGCTATATAAATACACCGTGCTATATGAAATACAACAGTAAGCAAAGCAGATATGCTTTATTTAAAAAGCACGAAAGTGCCTGTTTCATCACCTCTCTCACACTCACCTCAATGAAAGATAGGATCCCTGAGAATGAGACGTCCATCCCCTTTACGGTGTATGGCAGCTCAACTAGCTTCTTGCCTCTATGTGGGAATGAGTATACCAGGCACTAAGCCTACAGTCAGCTGGCTTCTCACCCTCCAAAGTCCCTCCCAAATTTTGTTAATGTATACGGGAAAATCCCTGAAGCCCCAGGAGCCAGCCTGCTTCCACCGTAAGTCCCCTTACCGCTTTGCCATCTGTTCAATGTTGTATCCTGGACTTGGGTCATTCGAAATCTAGCAGAAGAAAAAAATAAGGAAGAAGTGAATGGAAGAGGACGAAATCAGATATGCAGAAAGCATAAGAAACTCATTTAATATTTCACCCCTCCCCCTCCATGGTTTTCCTAAAATTCACCCACATTTTATGTTCTCTGCAGCCCCACTGGCTTACCTTCAGCACTCGAGCAAAACGATCC